TCCTGGATATAAGTTACAGCTACTCTGACTTTTTCCTGAAGTGTGCTGATACCCACACTCAGAGATTTAATTTCATATAACTTACATGGGTTTTTTTTTCTGCAACTCTGAGATGAAAAGAAATAATCTCTCAGCGCATTTAAAATCCTGGATTTCTGCCAGTTTCCTTAAAACAGCTACAATTTATGCCAATTCAGTCATTTTTAATTACAGATTATTTATTTTTCTGCTCGTATTACTTTTAAAAACACAGTTCAAATAGACACAGTTACAAATTCTCCTTTTTCTAGCCCAAGAGCCATTCTTATTAAGATCCTACAATGATCCACAGACACATTTGCATTTCTTCCTGGTGTTCCAAAGTGCTTTACATAAAAATTGCAAGTAAATTTCATCATTAAACACAGCATTACACTGGGTCCTATATTTAAGTAATGACAGTCTACTTTTTACTACTGAAGGCAGACAGAAATGAACTTTAGCACTGATTTAGTAATTTTAGGGAGAGATGAAATTCTGAGGTTATTTAAGTCCTAATTCTGCATTTTGCCAACAAAATTCTTGCTGCTGCTCAGCACACACGTTGGAGCTCTTTGTAACAGTCTCTCTGAAGAGCCAGAGCTCATTTTCTGATGGAGTGACTACTGTGAACTCTAAGGACGAGTATTTTAAAACCCAAGAACGTATTAAAAGCTGTAATTGCAAGATTTTCTCATTTAAGTCTCAGGGAAGGTTAAAGAAAGAAGAACTCTCTCCATCTGAAAAGCAATTTTCAGGATGAAGTCAGGGGATGTCGTTATTTTTAAGTGAGAAAGGAACAAATATTTGAGGCCAAGTGTTAGAACAAGGTACTTCCAAGAAGGAGACTGCAAATTGGCAGATGGGACCTTGCACTGTTAACTGGTAGCAGTTCAGCACCAGGTTATTAAGTCTTGAATTTTAAAAACTCCTCTATTTGCAGTCTCAGTTCTTGTCTTAGGGAGTTGGTGACCACATCTTGATCCAACTGCTATTTATATTACACTGGTTCAGGAAACCTGTAGGGACACTGACCACACACTGCTGATCTGAGAACAAAACGTTTAAAATAAATTTGGAGAAGGGAGATGACAACACACAACTTCCTAAACTTACTGAATCGTGTTAAAACTTCATGGTAAGTAAAACACATCTGAATTGCATAGAAATGAGACTGTTTCAGCTGTACTTTACTGAATTAAGAAAATGAGAAAATGCTAGGAATTCCTCATGTTATTTTTAACAAGCAAAAGTCAAAGTGCAGGAGGGGGAGGAACACATACCCACGCTAAGGAAGGGAGAGAACAATCCCTAGCACAGAACATCCCACAGCACAGCTACACCTACGGGCCCTGGGCGTCAGTGCCTCAGTCTATTTCCAGATCACTGTCCTCACTGGAACATGCAGAAGGGTTATGTATAGAAGTCAGGAGCAGCAGGTCTTTTTCTGGCAGCAAACCACATTCCTGCAGAAAAGCCTCCAGGTCTACAGCAAAGAAATCTTCCCCGAGCTGGTCAGTGATGCGCACGAAGTTGCCGATGAGCTCCCCGGCCTTGTAGACCAGCAGGGCTGGCAGGGCATTGTTGGTGAAGCGGGTGCTGGCCCCGATGAGGGAACTCTTCACTCGGCAAAATTTCACCGTGGGGTACTCGGCAGCCAGGCAGATCATGCAGCCGTTCAGGGACTCGGCGCCAGGGATATCATCTTCATAAATATGGATCATGATCAGGGTGCTCTTGTGCTCTTTGTCCACCGTGTCCAGAAATGCTTCTCCGCTGGTGATCTCAAAGACCTGCTTGAACTGCTGCCCACTGTACAACTGCTGCCTCATCTCCTCCATCCTCTGCTTCCTGTAGCGCTGCAGGAACTCCTCGTCGTCCTCGTCGTTGTGGATCATGTTGTACTCCTGTAAAGTCATCTAAGAACACACACAGAGATACGTGAAAACCATCTGCACCACGATGTGGGTCACTTATGTAATGAGAATGTAAATCAAGAGGATTAATGTGGGTCACCCATCTGTAATAACAGCAAAGTGCAACCCATGCAAGGCTCAAGCACCCTCTGTATTACACTCCATTCTGAGCTAATTAGAAACCATGTCCAGTGGGAACAGTGATTTCAGCCCTGGGCATTCCAGTTTCCACAAGCTGCACTAATAGCACAAGTGGCTGCTCTGTGCTCCCACTTTAATCCAGGTTAATGGTGCCCATGTGCTTTCACCGAGCTGGGAGCGCTCATTTGGAAACTGTCCCTGACCTAAGAGGAGCTTCTTCCTCATTTAGCTTTCCAGTTAACATGTGGTGGCACCATCCTGTCTTTAGAACTGCAATGAACAGGATTTTATGCATTTCAGTCTGTTCATCTGCATCACTCAAGGTACAGGAGAGCAAAGCCAATCTGCATCACCTGACAGCAGAAACACTGTCTGCTAACTACTAACTTCTCTGACTAACACTCAGGGTTAGTTCACAGCCCAGCTGATTAAAACCACTCTCTACCTCCAATGCCTTCGATCTTTGGAGCTCAAAGTTAAATTCCCAACATCCACTTACTAGATATGGAATCAACGAGGGCTCCTAAGCTCTTGCTTCAGGCAGGGGAGGCAGCATTCATAGGTTTGCTGTACCACTCTCCATACTAATGAAGTTGACTTATTTGATCAACAGACCATGGAAATCTGGGAAAAGGGTTTGGACTTCTTTGGTACTGCAGCTAAACCACTTATTTGTCAACACAGGCAAACGAGAACGTTAGACATTTTAAGTGGCACTTTAATTCCTTTGTGCCATGCTACCTTTCCATTGATTTTTTCCTGAAGCTCCTTTTGCTTCTGCTTATCAGCCTCATCATCTAAGTGAGACCTGCAGGTCATGGACAACTTCTTGATGAGCCGCTCCATCTCCCGGCGCTGCTCCTGCCGCTGCTCCGTCTCCAGCTGCTTAAACCTCCTCCAGTCATTGATGACTCCCTTGGGACCTGAGATTAAATGTGTGGGCATTTCGTATAAAAAGGGTAACACACTTATACTTATCATCATTTAAAATCAAGTAATAATTTATAAATCAGCAGTAAAACAGTGGCCCTGTTGTAAACTTTCCGTAACCATGCAGAACACTGAAATGGAAGAAGTGATTTGCCATTTGCATGTCCTTGAGTTTGTATCTATTTTTTTTTTAGTAAGAAGACTAAAGTTTATCTAACTAGGCTATTCTCATAATTGTCCCACAGATTAGTATCTGTACTCTTGAAATAGAACCACGAGCCCTCAAGGCTTCCCCTATTGTTAACATGGCTTTCATCAGAACAAAAATAATGATTTATTATCAACCAAATTGTACAAATCAGCCTTGTATCAGCTTTCTATCCAAAGCCTGACTGCTTCAGATAAAATACTGAGGTATCTCAGAGGAGAAATCAAACATTACAATCAAGAACCAGTTATTAGAAATAAGGTTAGACAACAGCCAGGAAACGATCACTCTCTGACCCAAATATGCAGAACACCAGGAGCTTCATTTCGAAAAATGAATTTTAGAATAACACATGAAATTTCCAACAAACAAAGCATTTACAGAACAAGTCCACTGACAGGAGCATACCTGTGTTGACAGTGCTAACATCGGTGCCAACATCGCTGCTGAGCTCCACCTCTCCCACACTTTCAGGAATGTTGCTCTCCCCTTCTTTATCTTCCTTCTCGCTGTCCTCATCCTCACCCTCACTACTGCTGTAATAGTACTGGAGCTTCTCACCAAGCAGTTTATCATCTGCAGTAGTCATTATGTCCTAAAAAATAAATTAACAAACCAGAGTTTGCAGCTCTGATCAAACACGCGGCGTGAGATACCACCTTAAATGCATCATGATGATCCTTCACTTCCTCAGGGCAGTTTTTAGCCCCAGAACAGTTCACAGCCCACCATCCAACAGCCTTTGGTGGAGTCAGTCCCTTGGGTTATTTCTTAAGTCACAATTTCAAACTCACTTAAATTAAAACCTGTACAAACAGAACTGCTCTGAAGCTCACTAGTGAAAACACCTGACGTGTGTTCTCACTCATGGAGAATTAATTTTCTAACCGAGATTCAGGAGCCTTGTGAGCCTCCCTGGACAGCTCCACCAGCCTGATTCCCAGTTACTGACATTTAAATGCCCACTATTATTTGTATTATTTTAACAATTATTTACGTGAGCTGAAAAACTACCAATTTAATTAAGCAAATTAAAACGTTCTGACCTGTATTCCTTTGCAGTCCTTCAGAGAGAAGCTTCTATCAAGACCTGGAAGGAGGAATATTAGCCAGATCAGCTGATTTGGGCTCACGCTTCTCTGCAGGGCTCTCCTGCTCGCAGAAGCCAGCCCTGGGCGTGTGTGTGGCACAGACTCCACTCAGCCCGTGGACACAGCAGAGCTGCCGGGAGTTAAACCCAGCTCCAGCCGATCACAGCGGGCAGATGGCCCGGGATTACCAGAGGGCCGGGCCAGGGGCCGGTGACACGCGGGCCCCGAGCGAGCGGCCCCACCGCCCGCCCGGCCCCGAGCATCCCGCCGAGCCCCCGCTCTCCCCGGCCGCCCCGGCCCCGCCAACGCTCCCCCTCCCGCCGCCTCGGGGGCCGCCGCGCGGGGCACGGCGGGAAAGGGCGGGGACGGGACGGGAACGGCCCCGGAACCGCCCCCTGGGAACGGGAACGGCCCTGACGGAACGCCGGGAACGGAACGAACGGCCCCGGGAACGGGAACGCCCCGGCAACGGGAACGGCCGGAACGGGACCGCCTCTGGGAACCGCCGGAAACCGCCCGGACGGGAACGGCCCCGAACGGCCCCGCTGCCCCGCCCGCAATGGGCGGACCCCCCCGTACCGGGAAGCCCCCGGCCCCCAGCCGGACCTCTCGGTCCGCTATCGGGGAACGGCGGACCCCCCCACCCCGGTACCGCTCCCCCCGCCGTCTCCCCGCCGGCTGAAGAAAACAGCCCGGTTAAGGTGGACAAATAATTTTTATTCGTGCATGCAAATACATGTCAATACTGCAAACTTCTTCCATCGAGTCTCTCAAACACCGAACCGGGATGCTCTATCCGTGCCCAGCCAAAGCTACAACCTCTGCACGTCAGTGCTACAGCGACACACGGGCCCCGCCGGGGCCCCCCTACTCTAACACGAAGGGAAACATTACCAGTGGGAATCAAAACCGAAATAAACGGAATAGAATTTACTCCCCCATATATCCCCATTTCATTTTACAGATTTTTTTTTTCTTTAAATTATAGTTTTAAATAGAAGCTGAGAATGCGCCATAAAAATGAGCATTAAATCCATCGTAGCGATGGTGCCTGCTTTATACATGATGGGTGTACACCATCTTTTATTTCATTTACATTTCAATCGAACAATAGATTTGCAAAGAAAATGTCTAATACAGACGTAAAAATATTCACACTAGAGCTTCACAATCGGTTGTACAATTGACAAACAGGCCTCTTTTCCCAAACTTTCCAGCTAAGCAAATTTATAAAATGTAATCAATGCAACAAGAAAAAAAAAATTTTCTTTAAAACTTCCAGGGAAAAGAATACGCAGTAAACAGTATCAATGCGACAGCAGATGCTGCAAGCTAACCACAATACTCTGGAGTGGCTGTACAGTGGGTATGTGCAGTACAAATCAAAGCCACGTGTGTTGTATCACAACTACTGTATAATGTACTTGTTTGCCCAGCTAAGAAAACGCATGCATTCCCATGCCTTGGGTAACGGAGATCTACTCTGGAGAAATCCAGGGGCTATGTGCAAATGACCTTGGCTTTTGGCAGTAAGAAACGCAGCCAGGCTCTGCTTTAGTTCAGCTTTTACAGCAAAGTCTCGAGTGATTAAAAGCTTCCACAAGCATCCGTAAATAACGGGGTGTAGGATTATGTTTGGGCATTGGGCACTTTGATTATTCAGATTTGTTTCATCTCATCGCTGACAGTTTTGGGTTTTTTTTTTCCCCTTGTCCTGCTCCCCTGCCAGCAAAGAGATGCACAGGGATGACTACTGCCAAAGTCAGCTGTTCATTTATACTGGGAAATTGGGTCATTTAAAAAAGCACATTTATTGGGTTCTGCTTGCAGAAGAGGTCCCTCAATGAGAGGGAACTTCCTAATAAAGGGATTAAACTACAACATAAAAATGGACTTTTATATCCTATAGATCATCTGATCATTTCTCATTTTGTTACACTCTCAAATTCAACACCTTCCTTTAATAACAGTCTAATAATGAATGAAAAGTCTGTTCACAAATATGATCAAGGAGCTGCTGGCATACAGTGTTTATGTACAGCAACAGGTACAACTTGACAACTTGTGCTTTAAAAAAGCAAACAAAACCAATGTTTGGAACTATTCTGAGTTTAGATTTGAGTTATTTGAAGCGTTCTTTCCTCAGCTGTTTCTGACCACTGTGCATTATTTTGTACCTCATCCAGCCTAGTACACTATTATACAAGAACAGCATTCAGCTCTTGAGTACAGGAGAAATTAAAATTTCAATTGAGTTATCAAAGCACTAAAACCTTCCAAATTAGACTTCTACAGAGAGCTTAATTAAGAGCTTATTTAACATAATCAACTGTGTACAACTTTTTTTTCCTAAATCAAATGCCAAACTTCAGTGTCCCTGTACTAGACTACCAAGAACCAACGCCAGTTTGCTTTGCAAAGAGTCTAACCTTGCCTTTGAAGGGTCTAGTATACATTCTACAATGCAAAATCTGCATAAACACTAAGATTCATTTCTTGTCACCTGTTTACAGGAACAAAATATCAGTAGCAGGGCAATCACTCTGCTCTAAGTATATGTTAAGAATGTACAGATAATTACTTTCTCACACAAGCATTCTCCCAGCACAAGCATTAGTCTCTATTAAGACCTATGTGGGAAATGAGGCAAACCAAGGAATGAATCCAGGTAGTGAGGCAACACAATTAACTTAGATACTAATAATTCCTGTCTCTCTTGCATGTGAAATCCCTGCTGTACCCCTAATGGGGAAAAAAAAAAATTAAACCAAACCAAACCAACCCAAAATGCTTGTCCAAGCAAAGCAAAAGAGCCAATCTCTCTCCCCGATCTGCTACGGGCCTTCTTTTCTGACAGCACAGGTAAGTCAGGCCAAAACCTAAATGGGCATCACTGCTATTAACACACACAGGGAAGTCACTCCATCTCAGTGTCAGAAAATAAGCCCTTCCACAGCCCAAAGGCACCTGATTTACAACTAACAACATGAATACATACTTGTTTGTAAAGGGTCAAGGGCTGAAACTTCAATATAGAAGAAAGCCACAGCCAGGTGTTCCCACCTGCAGCTTCTTCTCCCTGTCAGGGCACTGGAGGGCATTAGTTTCATGGCAAAAACCACACAGTCACTGTTAAAACAGTAAGACAAAGCTGGCATGCTGTTAAACCCCCAAATAATTCTTTTGTCTGTCCTTCTACAGGTTAAAAAAATCAACTAAAAAACCCTGGCCTCAGTTCAGAACCAGCTTTCCACTTGAAGTGTATGGTCACCCTAGAGAACTGCTCTATCACGGGACCTCCTGCTGCAGACAAAAGTCTAGAGATACATTTGTTCTTAAATATGCCAAGAAGTTGGCAGGAATATGTCAGGCTTATGTCATTTCACTGGACAAACAGGCAAATGTGTGTAAGCAGCTTATCCCAACCCCCTCCAGCAGAGCACAACCAAGTTTTTAAAACTGCAATTTTAAAATTAAAAAGTTAAAGGTAAATACACAATCAATTTATGTAGTATATATTCACCCTCAGATCATGCTGAAGATGTTCTGTGGAGTTCTGGTGCACAGAGGGCTCTTTCCCTGAGGGCAAATAAGGACTTCTCAAACCTTTATATTTTCTCTATTTTTGTAACAAAATAGCAATTTAAAATTTAAAAATCTTTTAAAAAAATTACATCACCTTCAACATGGAAGATCTCACTGTTTAAATATCCATGAAAGAGACATACTTGTTTGCATATCTGTTTTGGAATTACATTGTACAGCAAATAATAGTATCTCAGAAGCATTTCAAAAGTAATATAAATTCGTATTTACAGAATGGTCTTGGTATAAAATATACAACAATCATATTCATGTCTAACATTCTAAGTTAAAGTTAACATCGATAGGAAATAAGTTAAGGTGGCAAAGGTGGTCTGGTTCTTGTATCCATTCACTTCACGTTGGGAGTGGAACGAAGCGTCAGTCTAACCCTACGATGAGGTGGCACTGGCTGGAGAAGGTACAGCAACAGCCAAAGGAAACTAAGAAAAGACTACTGGACTGCTTTTCTACATACATTCCTTGACACTGGAGTATTAAATAGATGTGTAAGATCTTCCATACTGACACCAGAATATCAAAACTAACCCTTGGATTTGCAGGTATATTTACAACATAATCATTTCATGGACAGGTTCGTTAGGAGAGATATCAAACACCAATATTTACTTAGTCTAATCAGTAACCCTCAGGGAAATGCCAACCCCCACCCCCCAGAAGCGTGCACAAAACAGTTATCAAAATCTTACCCGACCACATAGCTGTGATTTTGTAAAATAACAACTCAGACGACCAGTAACATGATCCTCTTTAAGCATTTTGCTAGCAGGAAAAGCCCTTACATGCAGTACACCTGGTGAAAGATCAGCTTGGCTTAAAATATTCCAGTACAATTTTCAGAGTAAACAACTTCACAGAAGTTAATAAAAACATAAAAAAATGTAAAACTTGTCACAAAGAAAAGTAAGAGGACAAACGAGAAGACAGTAACCATCAGGAGGGAGAGTCCTGCTTTAAAAAAAAAAAAAATTGGATTTTTAAGCTTCTCAAAAAAATATGCCCAGGGCTCTAGTTCATGTGTATTTATGAAATCCAATTTTCAGCTGACATGTCTAACATGATTCTCAGTCACCTCTTAACAGGGCATAAATTCATAGTTTTCAGTACTCTGAAGGTCAGATAATGCTATCTTATTGTATTTTCAAGGTCTTTGAAAATAAGTTGCCACTGAATAAGCAAAAATTAAACCTGAATACAAAATTATGATTAACAACATTTAACAAAGGTAATTACAACCGCCTTAAATTCCCAATATTTAGTTTAAATTAAAAACAAAACAGTACAAAAAACAGCAATACCATCTTGTTAGTCAGTGCAAACACTAGATACAGGGTTTTCAAAGGAAAGCCAAGAGCACCTGATACTTTTTGCCAAGTCATCTGGATCCTATAATCTCCAAGTTGAGAACTATTAATGAAAAAAAGAAAAAAAAAATATGAAAAAACCCAAAATCGCTGTTACATTAGTGCATAACCTCTCAAAATCGTTGCAAATTGTTTCACGTATAGCTTGGGGAAATCAATACCTACTACACTAGCTGGAGGACTTAGGCACTTGGTTTACTTCTGATAACTTTACTTGGACAAGTAGCCTGTGTACGTGTATCTACAGCACTAAAGCAGAAATTGGGGGGAGGAATGGAAACCAAAACCTGCAGCAAAGCACTGCACCACAGACCTGCAAATAACAGTGCAAAGCTAATGGTGTGTTAACCCTGTAAAAGCCTCAAGTCCAAATCTCCACCTCTCAGCCTTCAAACAATGCTCCATGCAAAGTTCCACAACTAAGGAAAAAGCAGCTGCAACAAGACACAAGTTCTTCTCTCGTGAAACAAAACAGAGACAAATAAGTTAGTCTTCCTTTCACTAGATGTATCATCGTAGGATCCTGCTAGTTTAAATAACTGAGTTGTTAGTTTTCTACAGAAGCCATTTTCAACAAGAATGGCTCAGATACCGCACCGGATTGCTACAAACTCATAAAAAGCTGCTTTAAGCTTAAGTAAAACAATGTCCAAATTCCATTCATTTGTGGAAAGTGAACGCCTTACCCTAGTAAAGTAAGTTTTTTTTTTCTTCAGAATGCTAATGCGAGAGGGGCTTGAAGTATCAAAGAGTCCACAGGAAATGCATGACCCCAATATTATTTTTTTTAAAAAAAATATACATTATATAATATATATTATATATATAAAAAGCTAGTGTAAATGCTTCCATGGTGTGGTCACAAGCTGGAAAGATGAATGCCTTTCAGCTGTTAACCATCCTGCCATTTGCAACAGGCTTTAAAAAGTCATTTTTATCCTCAGACATAATGTGAGCAGTTTTCAAAATGAGGCTGCCAACACTGACTGATGTGCTGATGGGCAGGCAGCTTGCATTGCTAACAGATGTTGTGATCGGCTGACTGAAGCAAGAAGTTACGGGCAGGATTGTTTTCTGCTCCTCCCTGAGGAGAAAAATAAGTTACACAAATATTAAACAAGTACATGCACAAGTATCCGGAACTGAATTGTGTGCATTAAATAAATACTGACATCGACTCATTTTTAGCAACAGGCTAAAGATCTTACTATGGAACGGTACGCTCGAGGTGTTAATGTAGTCTGCCTCAGTTTCAAAGGCTGCTTTACCCATTAAAGACTACAGAACATAGAAACCTAAAATAGTGTGTTTTAAAATCTACCTCTCCATGGAGATTTGTGCAAACAGTCCGACATTTAACCTTTTTGAAGTTTTTCTTAATTTCTGTTAACTATAAAAATATTTTGCATTTTTTGCTTACTGAATGTGAAAGGTATTTTGAACAGCTGTGACACGTTTCAGTGTGTACAATTACAACGATGCATACAAACAATAGTACCAGCCTGTGACTTTCAGGTTTGTGACCTAATTCTATTTCTGACAGGTTCTTCTCACTTCACCAAGCATACACAATGCAGATGTCTAATCCGAGTCTGAGCAGGTATGTAGTTCATCCTTAAACAATCATGCTTCCACTATTCTGATGCTGCTGTTTGTCTAATACTGGCAGACACTGCTGTTTTGTCTAACACTCACAGAATCACAAGGTCTTCACCTAAACTTTGTCTCTTCTGTTCCATAGATTCTTTCTGGTGCTGCTTGAGCAGATGCCCGTTCTCTACAGTTGTTCCATTGAGCAGCTGATCATCTTGGGAGCTAATCCCCAGCTGTATGTCCAGAATCTCCTACAAGAGAAAAGGAGGAACACCCATCAATTCTGCCCCCATCAGCTTTACATTTTCCTATTATGTTCCACTACATTAAGCTGATGGAAATGGGAGTCTGGTCATAAAACTCCTTATTTTTATGTCATACTATTGGAATGCCTACCACATTTTACTGAAGGAAAAGCCAATTATTCCAAGATGGCTGTGAATGACAAGAGTAGTACAAACTGTGAGCTCATTTTAAATTGAGTAATATTAACTACCAGGTATCTGAGTGAGAAGTACAAGACCCCGAGTGTTAAAAATAAGGCAAATGTTTCATGTCACTACAAGGACTAAAACCAAAAGGCTTTGCTTTCAACAGAAAGACTAATGAAAGGACCCAGCGACACACAGATTTTTGTACTCACTTCTATTTGTTCACCTTGCCCATCAGGTTCGTCTGTATCAAGGGCTGATAGCTCCAATTCAATGTCTCGATCTGGCTTTGTGTCTGCACAGTCTTCAGTATAATCAGACTAAAACAAGAATTGATACATTCTGTAAATATCAAGTTGGGTTTTCACCTGTTTCGCACAACACCGGAGTATTACAGTGAAAAAAGAAGATGCATTTCTAGTACACAACATTTCTACAATACAAACAAGCTAGTTAGACACAACAGAGCTTCAGGCACAGACAACACAGGATACAAGGCTAAATGTAATCACAATAAAGTACCAGAACAGGGAGATAAAATGAACACTGAAGTAGAAATTTCAGTAGAGTCCATTGGCAAAATGTTTAGATCTATAACACACACAAATAGAAAAAAACCTAATGATTGCATGAAAATTATTGTCTTATTCTTCCCATTTTGTAAATGGAAGCAGAAGCACAGCAGGTGCACCTGCCCAATCTCAGGGAAGTACCTGAGTGCAACAACAGTGACTTAACTTGCACAGAACATGCTATAAACATTTGGGAGTGTTAAAACTAAGTTTTAACTCTTAGTTAAAATTCAGGCACTTCTGTATATACACAACCCCTCAAAGATTTGTTCATCCCAATTACCCCTTTCTTTACCTCACCATTCCTCAAATCGATTTCCTTGCTTAAAAGATTTAAGGTAAGACGACTGCCTTCATCGAGAGAATTCCACTTCTGTTGCATGGCCAGGGCATTGGCCTCTCTCTGAAGTAATAAGGAATTGCTTTTGGCCTGTGGAAAGAAAGGGATCAGTTACCAGCCACTACACTAAAACCACGGGTTGTCAAATGGCAAAACAAACCAGCTGACACAAGCACAGTTCCCCTGCTAGATGGGTAACGTGTGTGCCCTTAATGCACTGCATTTATTTTGCTCTGCATTTGCAGACATGCATCAGGCCCGCCACCTTCTCCCCAGAATGGCCTTACTGATGTCAGTGGAACAGCTCACATTAGCAGCCCTAAAGCAGCATACTAAGCATTGCAGGACTAGCTCCTAGTTTAACCCTAACTGATAATTTTGTCATTTGTACTATTTTCTATAGGCTACACTAAGAAAACTTATTTTAAACCACTTTACTAAACAATTTTATTTTAAATTAAAAACCCTCATGGTATATCATCTTGTCTTACCTGCTGCAATTCAATACTCAGTAGATCTCCAGTGCTGGAATGCTTTCTGTGACCAGACAAATCTGTAACTATGAACCTGTCCCTTTAAGAGAAAGAAGGCAAAACTAGGAATTAAAAACAAGTCCTCTAAATCAAGGCCCCATAAACTTCATTAGCCTATCACTGTTAGATTTTTGGGCAGAAACTGTGTGACTAAGACTTCATCTTCACTGGGGCTCCCAATACCTCAAGGCATTGTATGAAGCAAACATCCTTATTTTATATACGGGTAAGATGTGGCAAGAAAACTACTCAGATTTTGACATGACAGCTTGGCAGCACCAATACTTTTATTAGGCCTCTCAAGGGATAATAAAGCACAATTACTGGCAATGTAACTGCATTAAGTATTGAAGACTACACAACTTTTAACCTAGTTTTTCCAAGGCTTTATGCTGGTTAGGTAAAAGGTCTTTTACTTTAAAATTAAGAATGCCTATTAATAGACATTCCAGATTCCCCACACACACAGTGAGGATTTTGAAGAACTGCAAGCTACAGAAAATGCTTTTAAGAGAACACAGAGAGGAGTTTGTACCGTTCTGCATAACGTGCTGATGAAGCAGAATCTGAGCCGTAGGCACTCCATCTTGAGTCAACAGCATTGACATAAGGGACATAATCTGTAAAAAAATCAGGATACCATTCACTATCTTCTCTGTTCTTAAGTGGGGTAGACAGGTATTTTAGCTCTCTGCATCTTCATAGCTGCAGTAAGCACGAGGAGGATGAAATGCTCGTGATGTACATGAACAATGAATTGTTGTCACAAAGCCTGCACTTGTACCTGACACACTGATGGGCTTAGTAGCACTTCCTTGGGAAGCAGTGGCCTGGATGGGATCTGTCGTGTGGTAACCTGTGCGGGATGACCTGGAGATCGCACCCCACTTGGAGATGATGGGTCCGTCGCTGAACGGGATTATCGGATCCTCCTCCTTTGCCCTTCTCTGCGTCTCAAACAAGTGCACTCTCCTTTTAACATCCCCACTGTCCAAATCCTACACATTCAGGGCACAGGAGAAATATGGACTCACTGAGGTTGTTCGGGTTCTTCAGTCAGCCGATAACTTTCCAATTATTGTCGCCTATCTACAAAACTGGGAAAACATATTCCAAACGGGCAAAAACTACTTTAAAGTACTAATAATGGAAGCTACCAACTTAAAAACAAAAAAAAAAAAAGGTTGGTTTAACCAAAGAGAAGACACTTCAGCATGTAAGGATCACCACACCAAGGAGAGAACATGCAGAAAACCCCTACCATCAACACGGCATTGGAATTGGCAATCACATCCTTGGGCTCTGAGTCGATAGCATTTATACAAGAGCCAATAGTGCCACAAGACCACGGTGAATAGTGAGAGAGATGGTCTTCCTCAAATTTAGTTCCACTCAAATCACTGACACTCTCTGAGAACTACAGAAAAGGGAACAAATAAGCAATGAATAATAGAAACAGGGAATTCAGTTTTAAAATGAGAAGAGACATTTACTGCTATTTAATTAAATTATCTCAAAAGTCAATCAAGGAGTTCTAGCTGTATTCAAGACTTGATTTGGGGACAACATAAGCTGTTTTGTCAAATTTTAAACCAGTGCCTCTGGCAGCTGTCAGAGGGCAAGCTTTGCCACACAAATAACTGCCCAGCCTGCCAAGATGAGAGACTGAAATCAGTGCCACTGTGTTAGTGGCAGGTTTCTTTAGGCAAATACCCACACTAATTTAATTGAGAGGAAGCCATGCATTTTCCTTTAATGTGTTAGCAACTGGCAGATAGAAATATGACTGGGAATCCTCCAACCTGAATGAAAAGAACTAAACCCTGATGCATCTTGAATGCACCCATAAGAGACTTCAGGTACCCCTACCTTACATGGTATTTTCTGAATAATCAGTCTTAATACCTCAAATCTCATCAATGAAACTGGTAAACCACAGCTAAGGCTGCTTGGCACAGTGGTTCTCAAAACAGTTTCTTGGATGCATCTAATTTACACAGATAGAAAAAATATCACAAGTTTGCTTTTTTCTCTTCAAAAGCACACTACTGCTATTTCTTGAGTTCCCATTCTTCTTTTCAGGACTTATCCCATAAGTACACAATGTTCTACCAATGCCTTTTGCCACTTGTAAGGGATATGCACTTTCTGGGACTTGACAAGCACTTGCAGCTTGATTCAGGCTACTGATCAAGTCACAAAGCCATTTGGAGTATGAAAGGGAATGTTCTTTTTAATGGAAAGCAACTGTTGTTCCCTACACAAAAACCTGGAGGTTCACAAAGCTAGCTCAATAAAATTACATTTCCTTTAGTGAGGCTGAATTGAGTCACTTCTTGACCTTTTTACTGCAGTCATGTTTAGCATCACCTTAATATCAAATTGAATGGATCATTATTAGATAATACTTTCCTTTTGTTAGAAGATCAATTTCATTTTAGGAACAGAGAGCAGGTGGAAAATCTTTTACTAGAAATATTAAATGGCACCTCTCAGAAACAGGAAGGGAAAATAAAGAAGGCCTTTGGCTTCCCACCTCTGTGCTGAAATCTACACTGAAGAGAGGAGAAGGTGGTGTTGGAGATGGTGTTGCCATGGGAAGGGTTGATGATACCAGAGGGGTTTTCTGTGTGTGGTACTGTGCCCACTGCTCCGGCTTCCGCCTCAGCTGCTCATCGTAACCAGTCTTCAAGTGACCACAAGGCTCCTGGCAAGAACAAACACGGGACTGTATGTCCTACCACACTCTAAGGAGAAGACAAATACTTGCAAGGGACACACTCGGCCCCCCAGATTTCCTTGGGTCTGTAACCCTCCACTGGCATCACTTGGAGAATTTCACAAGAATCCGCAGGAGAGCCCAGCCCATGTGTGGCAACTCAAATCTTCAATATGCAATTAATTCAGGCAACATGCATGGGAATTAAAGAGGCAGAGGAGCTCTGGTCCTAATGCAGATTAGAGTGGTCAGTTTTACAAGCCCATTTTATTAAGGTTAAAAACAAAACAAGAACTTTGTCCAGGTCACTTTGTCTTGATCACCGTAACCCCAAATAAACGGGTCTATGCTAATTATTTACCAACCTCTCAGTAATGACCTTCAGAACCAAAACAATACACACCCTTCCTTCCTGGCTCTCACTTACCCTTGGTAAAGGCACAGTCCTCTGCTCGTTTGGAGGTTGACAAGCCACAGAGTAATACCCATCCAGAGAGTTGTACCTCTCCCGTAATGATGTCTGATAGACAGACGAGTGCATCACATCCATGGGAGGTAAGGAATTGCTCCTAATTATATCATCTCGTGGGTACATCTGTGGGCGCCAGATGCGCCGGCTGTCATAAACTGGAGCATACATTCCAGAGGGGACAGGAGGAACTGGTCCATACGGCTGCGGAGGAGGAGGTTGGTAAGGAGAGTTCAGTCGATCTCGAGGGGGAAATGTACTGTAATGATCGGCATATGGCACGGAAGCAGGTGGGAGGGAGGACTCTGGAACGTTATTGGACCTCACAAAGCGAGGAACACAGGGAGCCACACCAGCTGGTACTGTTGGAGGTGGTGGATAATACCCTTAAAAATTGGAAAAAGGCATATTTAATGCAACCACGAACGACCCAAAGTTTTACACCTTCTAAAACTGTAAACAGTGTTGATAAGCACCTTTAGAGAACGAGGAGTCACACTTTGCAAACCTGTTACTGACCCTACCACACTTCTGTGAAACACAATTTCATGTATGACAACCACATTTGCAGATGCCCCTTCACCACCTGGACCCAGTTTGCAAGGTGGAGTTTATCTGCCATTACATACTGTGGAATAACTATGCCACTGAAAAGACAGGATCTTAAACACCTCTTTATACAGACAGTTAAAATAGTTCTCTCTAAAATAAAAAGCTATATTGCTAAAAAAAAACTATTTCCAAATTCCAAATGTAAAGAACTATTTCACACTTGACTTTCTTTTTCCTTTTGAGAGGACTGAACATCTCTGCCTCTTGAGAGCTTGTGAATGACTTGATGCTGTAACACTTCATTGTTTGCTTAAATACAAACATGCACACTGTAATCTAAAAAGGTAACTGGAATCTTTCAAATACATTTGAGCAAGCACAAAGTAGAAGCAATCTATGCCTCTGGCTTTGAATCGTGCCTGTGGATACCCTCATGGATAGACCATGAGGTGAGCAAATCTAAATAAAAGCAGTTAAACACTAACAAAGGAAAAAGTAGATGAAACACCTTGAGGTTCAAGTTGTTCTGGATGCTGAGGTACAAGTTGCATAACATACAGCACACAAACCACCACCAACACTGGGAGCAAACTGCAGGTCCCTCACATACCCAACAGTGAACAAGATTAACATTCCATTAGGTGAAGATTCAGATATTTAATAAACTAAACTAAAATGAAAAATAAATTGACAAAACCGAGATAAAAGTTATTTCTCAGCATTCAGGCTTTTCCACAGAAAAATTCAGAGCTAATTTTGACTCAGTGCTCATCTCACTCACCTGTCTGTGGGTACTGTGGAACTTCATATGACAGCTGAGTCCTGGGATCTTGGAAATATTGAACATTGTCAGAATGTGGAGGGTAGACGGGAACTCTGGGAACAAACGGGCTGGATTTTGGAGGCACAGAATTCACTTCTGTTCCAATATTAGGAGGACCAGCTGAGGTAGCTGCTGCCTGGCTTACAGGAGTCTTGGGTGGAGAACCGATTTTACTGAAAAGGATTACCAAGAAATCATTAAGCAGATCTTCACTTATTTCTGTCAGCCATCTCTTCGTGCACACTCCTATTTAACATGCAAATTTGGGCCCTGTTACTTCCTCTGCAAATTTGTTTTTCATACCCCAAACTGATGGTGCATCTTAGACTTTCTCCTAAGAAAACTCAGCAGTGGATATAAAAGCTTTGGTGTGTACCCAGAAGTTTACATACCCTTTCTAAGTGTATTCTGGTAAAGACAAAGGCTTTGAAAAGCTGTTCAGAGACTAAGTGCTTCCTCCAGAAGTATCTGACCGGTTTCAAGTGAAACCTCCAAAACTAGAAGGTTTCCAGGAACACAGTGCACCCTTCTTGGTGTCAGGAAATGTCCAATTTTAGGTGTTTTATTTCTACGTAATAACCCAGTAGTAACTAGGGATACCATGCTGAGAACAACTTAATAAGAGATAAAGGGAGAGATTTGCCATTTTGTCCATATTGCACAGGAGTACTCAATAACTGAAACAAGTGATGCTGGCTGTGACCACCTGAACCCACAGAATACCTGCACTGCAGTGCAAGATCTTACACAACTCTGCAGCCAGGCAGCACCAGCAAGGACTGCAAGCCAGGACCAGAATTCAGAATTTGCTGTTTGCCATCCACAGACTCCATGATAATCTGAATGCAAAGTGTTGTGTTTAATCATCTCCATGAAAAAAAAAGTCACCTACTTTTCAGGGAGTGATTCTGTAGGAGACCCAGAAGCATTCTGGCCATTGGCTCCAGTCTTCCCTCCCTTCTTGGTGTTCTCCAGAGCCCTCAGGGAGGTGTCTGCACAGCGAGGGATCAGCTGGGGAACCCCACTTTCCAGATTAGCTATTCCATTAGTACTTGGCACCATCTTCCCTGTTGCTTCTGGGCTTCCTATGACAGAAATGACGTTCCCCGTTGAGGTTGAGACGGTGCTATTTACGCCAACTTTGTTGAGAAGGGGGAATGTTCTCACTGTTGCACTGATTTTTTTGTTCCTCAAGCGGTATCTGTAAACAAACACATGTGCAAACACACAACAGAGATGAGTGCTCATTGTGAACTGTAACATATTTGTAAAACTAACAAAAGGAAGGGACTGAGAAGAAAACGATACCAGAAAAATTACAGACTTATTTTCAACAATTGTAACCCAAAATCATCTCTCCCCTCAAAAGATCCATTCTGCTGTTCTTTGAAAATGCATTTGGGTGAAGACAGCTCTAAGAATGCAGATGTTGCATACTGTTCAATAACTAGTTCATGCCTTAATCAATTAAAATGTAATTTACACTCTCTCTCATAGGTGATATAGCCAATCCATGAGAGACACTCAGCCTAGACTCAGTTTCAGGAAAGGAAATTTTACTTTACATGGGGTAAAATAAAAAATAAAACTGGAATTCGTTTCCATTCCTAATTTCATACAAAGAATTGTCACGTTAGGGATTTACAAATCCTTCCAAATGAATGAATGTATAGAAGAGACTGTTTTCAAATTCTATGGAGATTGCTCGGATTTGAATTAAAAAAAGAAAAAGGAAAAAGTTTCCCACACTCACTTTTCAAGCTCTTCCTGAGAATGAGCAAATGTACAGTTTGTTCCTCTTGGACACCCCCCTTGCTGTCGAAGGTCTCGGCACATACTTGTTTTGTATTTGCTATTTGGTTGTGGCTTTAAAGAAAAAAAACAAACCATAAGACACTCTTCTTACAATCTATCAGACATTCACATAAAAATAGGCTTAAAATACAGAAAATCTATCTCACTACAGCCAGCTCTGCTGCATTCCATACTCACAAATGTTAGGTTCTCAAAATCCCAAAGCAGTAAATAACAGTATCATCAATTATGCCACAGATAAGGTCATAAATATTTCAAATCAACAGTAATTTTTTTAAAGTTGCATCTTTCAGTAAATGTGCTTTAAAACATTTAAAACAATGATCCAGTATAGTTACCTGTGGAGTTTCATGGCCTTTTCTGCTGTAATTCTGAATGAAATCCACCAGCCCATGGACCACAGTCTTGACAGCGACCATCGCATTTTCCAGCTGCTCCCATGTTGGAGAGGCTGCATCTGAAATTATTAAAAGGAGGGTTGTCACTCTGTCAATAACTCCAGTAGTATCACAAATAAGAGGCAACTCTCCTACTGCTTCACAACACCAAGTCCTAGGACAGAACTCAGAGAGCCCCGAAGAAGAGTTTTGTTACGGTAATTAATGGGAATTTTGAAACCAGGCATGGAGGTTATCATCTTAATACTTTATTTTGCTAGATAATGAAAAATACCACAAGGAGAGTTTAAGAAGCTGAATTTGCATACCTGGATTTGGATCTATGTTTGCCAGGAGCTCTAAATGAGGCCTCAGCCTGTTTAAGTTTGCAGGATCCCCCGTGCGCTGCAAGACAATTGTCAATTCTTGTACACTCTTTGCAAAAGATTCTGGAGATTGGAGCTGAAAATAAAGGGAGCATTAGTGTGCTGCATCTTACAGCTGTGAACTACTAATCTTGAAAAGAAATTCACAACTCTGGTTCCTAACTGCAATATATAGTGTCTTCAGATGGCATATAGAGAGGATCAGTGGAGAGAAATTTTATTTCTCAACTCAGAATCTGCCCTATGCAGTTTCATCATAAGACACCAAAAAGGGAATTAAAGGACTTCATAGGAAGAATATGCTACAGTAGGGAAAACTTCAATCCAGTTTTAATTAATATCTGATATGACTAAGGACAAAAAGTTAATTCAAGGAATTGATTTTTATTATAACATTTAATAGTCAAATCTAATCCTACAAAGGCACTAAAATCGCCCCTTTGACAAACCTTGTCAATAATGGATTGCATGTGTGATTTATGTGCCAAGTCTCCATAAAGAAGGGAAGACCATTGTTCTGGTGATATTCGAAGTCCTGCTTCCATGGCAATGTGAACGATCTGGGCATCGTGTTCCCTCCTCAGCGCCTCGTAACTCCGGAACTCCTCCTTCAGCTGCATCAGAGAAGAATCTTCATCCCTTTTAGTGACCTAATAAGTAGGAACAGTTAAAAGATCCCTCCTTTAACAATTGACTTTTCACTCTGCACTATTTTAATGTGCAGAAAGCGAATTTACAGAACATTTTACAGGTGACAGACACTAATCCTAGGCTGGGTTCTCTGGAGCTGCACTAGTTCACAGTAACAAACTCCAAATCCTGCTGTTTTACCTTAAAGCATGATGCTCTATACAGTAGCTGCACAACATGACCAATGCTCGTTTTGGAGGCCTGAGGAAATCTTGGTTCCAGCCTTTGCACAACAAAAAGGACCAGAACTTTTCTTGAGAGTGCAGAGCCATCTTCCAGTGCCAGTAAGACAAGTTTCAGTGCCTCCTCTTGCATAGCTTTAACACACAAAAAGGAGAGAAAGTTAAATATATTCCAGAAAACAGCAACACTATCATATATGAACAGATTAGCAGGAGCAACTGAATCATCTTGAACGGAATCCCTTATTACTTTTTATTTCACTAATCATAAGAAAAAAAGCTTTGGAAACTTTTAAAGAACATTGCTAGTTTAGAAGTAGTATTTAGAAGCACTCTAAGCACAGTAACTTAAGAGCTAAGACTAATTTTCAGTAATGAACACATCAGTAATGTAGCTTTTATACTTTTCTCCACTGTGCAGTCTTGCAGCCTTTTCCACTCATCAGTGCTACACCATGAAATTGTATAAACTAAATATGGGAACAGTACTGGAATGCTATCATCAGTTACTGGAATCAAGAGAGGACAACTTCCAGGTTAAAGAAAACTTCATTCTTGTTTCTGTGCTTGCTTCAGTAGTGTTCTTAACTATGAATTTGCACTTTCTATCAGAGATATGTGATAATTAGAAATTTTAAGAGTATGCTGCAACTAAGATTGTACATCTTCAGCTGAAGAAATTTCAAAAAAAAATTTTTGTTAAGTAAAGGGACAGCTAAGTACAGTCTGCTGCAGATCTTCAGGGACCTTACCTGGTCCTAGAAACTGGCACCCTCGTGCCCTGACAGCAGCCCAGAGATTGGCAGAAAGCTGCTGAGGATTTTGGTGCTGCAGGATGAGTTCTGTGACAGTTCTCTCCCCCAGGGACCGAGCTGCCCTCATGGCTCTGACCCGGCCCTCCTCCTCCACCAGCTGACAGTTCACCAGTGTCACAAGTTTCCTCTGCATTGGACGGCTCAGTGCACTCTGGTTCAAGCTTGCAACACCTTCAGGAAAAGGGAGAAAAGGCCAACTATTGCTTCTGATCAAACTCTTCTCAATAACACAAACAAAAATGTCTGACAGTGGATTTCTTTCTCTAGGACTTGGATACTAGTCACAGGCACCTTCCCTTCTCTTGGGCAACTCTGTGTAACTCATTATCAAAAAGAATTTTAATTAAAATCTTAAACTGACATCAAAGCTACCCTTTGGGTAAAGTTCAGTTTTAGTACAAAGTTAGCCCCAAGGCAATATTATTAAATAAAATAGAGTATTTTGTAAACTTAAAATAAAAAAACCACAAACAAGTGTCACAAGTGTGAATGAGCTTTCAAAGCCATAAGGGAAATTTTATTACGAAAATAAGAGGATTATCTCACTGACACTTACAATCAGTGCTGAAAACACAATGCTATTAAAAGTAAGGTACATCAAAATTCCACTGTCAGGAGAGACTCACCTTTTCCTCCACTTAATGGCTTCAAGTAGAGTGCCAAATCCTCAACACATTTCTTTGCTACTTCATAATGTTTGTTCTCTCCTACATTGCTCAACTTTACTGTCTGATGATCAGGTACCTAAAAAATATGCAAGGGGAGGAGGGGGAGAAGAGTGACATCCACCTGGGTGAGCTGTGTGATGTGCCTCCAAAGGTGCCACACTAATTACATAACACTGCAGGTGAGCACTGCCCGGAGCAGGGACACAGCTCCCAGCCAGGCACCCACCGGGGCAGGAGCAGCAACTAAAAACACTCAACATGAGGATGGGGGGGATCAAAGACGTGTTTTGTTAGCACTCAACACGTTAGAAACAGAAATAGGATAGAAAACAATAAGGTCTAATGAAAAGGCACTCAAAAGATGAACAAGACAAGGTCTGAGAGGATGATCAGTGTACCAGATCAGCATGATTTGCTACAGACACACGAGGGAAGTCACAAGACAAAAATCAACTGGCGTGAAAATAATAAAGCAAAGTTAAAAAAAAACAATTTAAGCATCATTTGGGCACGCTGAAATCTTCTGAAAGAAGAACCAGGAAGCCTAACTTGGTGGAAAAAACTCAGACTAGAGTAACAAGGTCAGATAAGGAAAACAGAGGGAGTGTTAGTCATAATACATTAATTGTCTGGAAGGCATTGCAAGAAGTTAGGAGACCAAGAAAATAAATATTGTAAGATCAAGGCAGTGATCTGACACAAAAAAAAATGAAAGGAACACGTGAACTTGAGAAACAAAACCACTTTGACACAGTGTTATTACCAATAGCTGTGTCAAGGCATGTGATAGGGCATTAAAAAGCAAAGTAAAAAGCATCCGAGGTGCTGGAGTGAGAGCAACATGAAAAAGCACATGAATCAGCACAAGGGGAACAGACTTATTTAGTCTCCATAAAGCGCAGTACTGATTATATAATCACTGTTTTGCCACCGCTACGAGACAGCACAGGGAACATTCCTGGCCTGATTAGCCAGTGTCTGCAAACGCCACTGAAAAGCCCCATCATCAGGCATATTTTAAAAAAATTACACACACACACTGCTGGAACCTGGTTAAACAGCCACTTTCCAACGTGTGACATGTAGAAAGGACATTTCTTGCAGGACTACGATGACCGAGTGCAATCTGCAGGTTCACTCTTCTTATGACAAGTGGGACACAAAACTGTCTGTTTCCCAATGGGGATTTTCCTCCAGCCACAGTTCAAGAGCCCTTTTAAATCAGAATTCAGGTTACAACTAGAACCTGTTTTCATTTTATGAGAAGACAGTCCTGAAAACGGTGTGGTTGCTTTTAGAGCACGTATGGCCTTCTAAATATTGCCAAGCTAAGCCTTACCGATTTTTGGGCTAAAACGAGGGGGAACAGATGACAGCACGTATTGCAACTGGCACACGAATGGTAACAACACAAAGTGGCAACACAAAGAGCTGCTTAAGCCCTACCTGGGCTCCAACCAGCTGGAGGAGTGCAAAGTTGACAGGAAGCACGTCGATGTCGGTGTTGATGGCGGTCTGGTCGAAAGGACATGCCTTGCGATGGAGCTTGTTCAGGCAGGTCTTACACACGGTGTGAGAGCAGCCTAAGCTGATGGGTTTGTGCACATTCTCATCAAACTCGTTGTAGCAGATTGGGCAGGACAGAAATTCTGTCCACTGAGCTGCCTGCACAGGCATTGTGGAAGCTGGACACTTGTTTAGCAGGCTAGCAGACCATTATTTCACTGTACTATGTTTTGGCAGCTGTAAGTGAATAACAGAGTATTTAAAACATGCTTTCTGGCAATTTAGAATGATTTTTAATTAAAAAAAATAGCCCACAATTTCAGTGTTACACAGAATAAAACCAAATCCTTATGCTGAAGTACTCAAAAACCCCAACTCTGCGTTAGTTTAACAATTGTACCAAAAAAGGCTCATGAGCTAAATTAATGCAGACTACCACAAATTGAACCTATTCACAATAAATGGCATTGAAGTTTGGTTTGGGGTTTTTTTTTTGGTGGAGTTAAAATCTTATTTTCATTTGAAGTAGAACAACATCTTCCTTCTGCAGATCTTATCCAGACTTAATCAGACATCAAACTAAAACCAGCTTTGCTTTTTCTAAAACACATCTTCTCTTTCTGCAACAGACAAATAAATTAAAAATCATACGGAAACTCTAAAAGAACAAGAGATTAATTTTTAGTTTTACGATTCTCCTGTGTTACTTTCCCCTCTTCTCTCAAGAACCCATTGGAATACTCAAGGGCAGAGACTGCTGTACTCAATTTTGCTTTTTACATCCCTACCTTACACACAACTTCATGGGCATGAACTGGCAGTGAGAAAATCTCTGATGTGTGGAAAACCCAGGTACTTAGGACAAAACCTATGATAAGGCAAGCAATACCTTCAGTTGGCTTGCTATTCAGTCTCTTGAAAAATCTCTCTGTGCAATTGTGCCAAACAAATTCTTTATGTATTTCAAAGAAGATATGGATTTATAGAGATTGCTCTGAGACATGCCATCTTATATAACTCGTGTTCTTGGAAAAGGTGCCAGGTCTAAGGAGTTCATTGAAACCCAGAGCTCCACCTCGGTGTGGCACAGCCCCACCCTGGGCCACGATGTGCCACCGTGGTGACTCTGGGCAACCCACAGACCAGTTAGGTCACTTCAAGGCTAGGAACAAGCTTGTCCCAGCAGCTTGTTACAAATGCAAATAGAGAAATGTTTTAATTACGTGTTTAGCATTCTATTTTTTTCCTCTGATGACAGAAAAAAGGTAATTGTTCTGAGGAGGCCAAGATCTCCCCTCTGTGTTTGAATTCGGGAACTCCTTATTGCAATTCCATTGTTGGCTGTGCTATGGTTTAATTAATGCTAAAGTATCAGACCATTGAAATAATTACTAGAACATTAAATAGACTCTTATCTGTGGATGTATTTTATGTTAATTATGACCATCTGTTTAGAAATCCTATTTAGTACTATGAACATTCAGTGCCCTTTAAGTAACAGGATCCTTGTACAAGATGTCCTTATCTCAGCGAGCTTTGCAATATAATGCAGTGATTTTCCCCCAGATGAATTCCCATAGTAAGTGTAAAACACACCAAACTGAAAGTTGAACCTGTCCCTTCAAAACCAAACTGCTGAGGTTAAACTTTCAACACAAGCCAGAATATTCACATGTATTGGACAAATCAGATTTTCATCCAGCTCCTAGGAAAGCACAACCAAAGCTCTTGCAGGGATGAACAAACACAGTCATCTTTAGCATGCTATTGCTACATATGTCTTTTAACCAAGGAAATTCAAAAGCAAAACAAGTAAAAGCAAAACCAAAGAGTGAGCCAACATGCCTAGTGAGATTTTCTGATTCCTCTATAAAGAATCCCACCATTTCCTTTAGCACATCTGCTTCCCCATCAAAACAGCAAGGCTAGAGAGGCACTGAACTGCAAAGCCTCGCAGAAAACACTTTCCTCAAAGCTCTGTGCAGCGTTACCAGAAACATTAAGACACCAACACTGCTGCTGACCTAGGACTGATATTGCTGTTTCTTCGCCCATCTGACTGCAGGACACAGGTAACAGCACAAACCAGAGCACTCTGGGAAGTGTGTGACTGTCATGACTCATGGGGAAAAGTTTAGGAAGAGGCTGGCACAGGGAGAGCTCAACTGCTAGTATGTCACTAACGAGCTGCTAATAAACAGGTTCTATGTCCACACTGCTCATTAATTATCTCAAAGGCAGGGATCTCTCTCTCTCCTACAGTACCCACGCTCTGTTTCCACAGGTACTTCAGAGACTCAGCACCTCTCTGTTTACAAGCATTTAAAATACACTTGTTTTCCTGACCGGTATAGAAATGAACACAACAGATTCTCCAAGTGTGCACCACCAGGTTTTAAAGACCTATCTCTGGGTGTTTAATCATCCCAAATGATAGATTCTACTAAGCATGTGTTGACCTTCAGATTTCTTGACAGGAAAAAAAATCTAATTAAATCAGCAAACAGCTGGGAAAAGCTCTTGACTCCCCAAACTTCAAGCAGTACAGAGGGAGGAATCTCCATACTCTGTTGAGCTGCCAGCTCTCCTGCCATTCTTGCACCCCAGCGTGTTAGGAAAACAATCTCACATCTCCTAATTACTATGTCAACTTCTGCAAAAAGCATAAGCCAAATGTTTAATAGACTCTTGCTCCTTGTCAGAAACAATGTATTTCAGGGATGTCCTCTTGAAGAACAAATTGCTCCAGCCCTCTAAACTGAGCAAACACAAGGAGAGCAAGAAGAAGGTAAACTAGAAACCCCGTGGATTTTGTTTTTAACAGGCAGTACACTCTGTTAAAACAATTAACCTTGGTCTGTTCGCTCTGGCAGAAGTGCTCTCTATCTCTACACATACACAGGGCTTCTCTTCCCTGTCAAAGCAGAAGCACCCTGCAAAAAAAATGCCAAAGAAATGGCTGATACAGAAACTGGTCAAACACACAAGGCAAACAGTCTGAAAAGACATGGCAGTTGCCACTTCAAAGATCATTACACAGTGAAGTTACAGTAAGTTTTACAGTATTACTATCAGAAGCAATGCTACAGATGACAGAGAAATGGCCAAGCCTAAGTTCAGACATTATGTAATGGTAAAAACCAGTACAGCCGAGTAATTCTGTGTTTCTAATGCAGTAGTATTTTCCCATTGCAGTGATGACTGCAAGGGAGCAGAGTAACCATGATTTTCTCATTTTAGAACAGAATATGTGATGAAATTGGAAGGTGGGGTGGAAGGGAAGATAGGTGAAACCTCAAAACCTTCCTCAAACAGCTGTACCACTTACAGATGATGGAAGTTGTAAGATTATTTTTGAATAACTTTCAGCTACTTAACCCCAAGGTATTCTCTACAACTAATCTAAGTCACTGTGCTTACTCAACCCCCTTTGGACATGATAAACATAGTTTAATTCTGATTTCCTGAAGATACCAAGCTTAGGTGACCAGGGTGTTCTGTCAGTCTGTTCCTCTCCCACACTGCTCAGTCAGGGCATTTGCCAAAATGCGAGACAGGCAAGTTCCATCCCTTGGCAGAGGAAGGGCTGGAGGCTCAGCTGCCTCCCCACAGCTCCACGTTAGCTCTGCTCTGCTCAGGGCCCCTGTGGGCCACGGGCAAAGGGAACAGGAACGAGCAGAGCTTGGATACAAATGAGACATGGAATAACTCTGTCAGTGCTGAGCAAAGGGAAGTCTTCTCTACAGATGAAGGAAGATCTCAGAAAACTTGCGAAATTATATGGCATTTTCACAACCAAGGTTCAACTGCAATCTCACTGTGGATTTAAGCCTAAATCTTAGAATTCAATTGATTTTTAATCACTAAATTAAAGAGTCCTTGATATTGGCTTGCTCTTAATGCTAGAGATCACGGTATTTCCTTTTCTTTTTTAAAGTGATCTCCATTACAGTTTTTCATTTATGCAGATTAATGGTCTGTTTGCACTGCAAAGAGGCAGCCTTTTCAAGTTTTCCTAAGTTTTGTATTTCTGAAAGCATTCTGACTGGATCAAAAACTTAAATGTCCATGTAATCAAATTATCAGTGTGAAAGTATTGGCTGGAAGGGCTAGAATATTTTATTAATTTCTCTTCAACAGCCATCATCTATAGATCTAAAAAGTAGCTTCATTAAAGGCTTAAGAAAGGGCCACCCCTGTAACAGCTCTGCATCATTCAGCTATGATGGCCTGAAATCAAAATAAATCCTCTTTAAAGAGCAGACTTGCTTATTTCCACACTCCATAATATCTGTCACATGTAAATCTCTTTGTATCAAGTGCAAATTCTACATATAACATCTTTAATGACCATTAAATACAGTATTTCAATGCGATGTTTTCACTGCACATTAATGCTACTGGGAGTATCCACAGCCCAATTCAAATCTCAGGAAAGTTACCCAGAGAAATTTTGGGGACATACTACAATTATAGAGTATCTCGAGCTGGAAGGGACACATAAGGATCATCAGGTCTAAATCTGCTTCTCTCAGGAGTACTTGACACTGAACCACACGACCAAGAGCATCATCCAGATGCCCCTGGAGCTCTGGCAGCCTTGGGGCTGTGCCCACTGCCCTGGGGAGCCTGGTCAGTGCCAACCACCCTCTGGGGGAAGAACCTTTTCCTGATGTCCAACCTGAACTTCCCTGACAGAGCTTCAATCCTGTTGCTTGTGTCCTAAATATACATCTGAATATATACATGTACCCAGACCACGTTTTGCCAAAATGCCTATGGGATGCTTCACTTGCTATGTGCGTTAAAAATCCGAGCTCAGATGCCCTCTGTCTCCTTAAAATACGTGGCTGAAGAATAATTCCTGTGAACAGGGGTACAGTTGACTAATATAAATTTAAGCTCGTGGCTGCTCAGTGACTGCCAAAGTTCACTCAGTTCAGAGGTAACTCCCTCCAAACCAACCCCAGAGTCAGTGCATCCTCAGCACTTCACACCTGCTCCTCCCTGCTCAAGCCACCAGAAATCCTGTTAACAGACTTGAAAAGTTTCCTAAATACTTCTGTAATGCCACTGTGGGTTCTTCCTTGTGTGTTGTAGGTGTCACTGAAAGGGGAGTCTGTCCTTGCCACCAGCCCAACACCAATTCAGCTCCTGTAACAGTATTGACTTTTCAGGGCTAACTGAAGGGCAAATAAATGAAAAATTTTCTTTGCCACCAAAATCAGCTGAACTCCCTCTGAACGCAGAAAAAGGGAATTTATTTCTAAGCAGATCTATTTTGACACAGTTACTTCACGAAGAGACATGCTGCAGGATTCCTGACTCTCCAGTTAATATTTTCACAGAATAAGGACTCCCACGTATGGTTCAGTTC